AGAGCAGAGATCACAGGCACGACGAACGCTAGAAGGCAAGCGAGTACCTACTCGCAAATGGCCTGGATCCGCCGAGGGGCATTTGCGATACATTACATCGAGGCAGACATGCGTCGTTCAGACATTTGCGAGTGGAAGTTTGCGAGTAGGCACGTTGCTAGTAGTGAAACGCGCTCGATGAGTAAGGGTACACCTCCAAACCTACGGCCGATCCTAAGCCTCGTGCCAGCCGCATTATCATTCGTTGACCGTATATACCCCTTACCCCGAAACGGTCCCCAAGAGGCGTCCAAACTGCATCCAAGCGGCAGTGTGGACGGCCTGATCCCCTGATCATATCCCTCTTCGCCCTCCTCCTCCTCCTCCTCCATCATCACCACCACCATCGTCATCATCATCATCAGCATCATCATCAGCATCATCATCAGCATCAGCATCAGCATCATCATCATCAACAACATCATCATCATCATCATCAGCAGCAGCAGCAGCAGCTGTACCGCCATCATCTGCATCATCATCAGCAGTATCATCAGCATCGTGATCCGCGGCATCATCATCATCATCATCATCATCATCATCAGCATCATGGTCATCATCAGCTTCAGCATCATCAGCATCAGCGTCGACATCGGCATCGACATCATCATCATCAGCAGCGGCAGCATCGTCGTCAGCATCATCATCAACGTCAGCATCGTCATCATCATCATCAGCATCATCACCACCGTCATCATAATCAGCATCAGCAGCAGCATCATCAGCAGCAGCATCATCCTGCGCCTGCTTTTATCCATCCTCCTTGTCTCCCCGCCCTCCTCCTCATCCTTCTCATATTCCTCCTCATCATCCCCATCCGAGCAGGAATCGTCCCTCAAGGAGGGCGCCATTCGAGGTGCACTGTTGCATAGCACTACTTAGAGTTATTCTGATTCATGGCACTAAGAAGAGCCGCTACAACTTCGCAGCAACGCCTGAAGTTAGCGCGGCCGATGCGATCAAACCCCGCACATACACACCATCCTCCGCCTCACTCCCTCCATCCCCGTTTCGTAAACATGCTGACCCAAACTGATCGCTTCGTCCAGCCGAGGAGGGGAAACCCCTGATTCAGGGACAGGTCAGGATGTTCACGCCTCCTGTTACTACCAGCGTAGTGAAGCGAGGAGTTGGCGGCATCATAGAAAGGTGCACCAATCGCACGAGCGTGGGTTTCACCCCTCTGCCGTGCAAGAACAGGGAGGGCCACCCACGACCCGACGCGGCCATTGACGTCAGGACCCGAGAGCGTGGATGATCTTGCTCGACCGTAGAAAAGAAGGCTCTTCCAACGCAGAGAGGGGTGCGCCCAGAGCGGGTCTTGGTATGGCTCGGGAGCGGGGTCACCAGAGTCACTCCCCCTTCGCGTCCCCATCATTATTCAAAACCTCCCCGTCCGCCCTCATCCGCATCCCTGCCCTCACCCTACTCTTCCACCCCATCCTCATGCGCCCCCTCCTAATCATGCTCCCCCTCCTTCTGAGTTCAAGGGCGACTCGAATTAAGTCATGGATGCCCTCATTATTGCATCCTCATCCTTACTAGCATCAGCAGCAGCATCATCAGCACCATCATTAGCACCATCATCACCATCATCACCATCAGCATCATCATCATCATCGTCGTCGTCGCCGGCGTCGTCAGCGTCATCCTCCGCCTCCTCATCCTCCTCCTCCTCCTCCTCCACCTCCTCATCCTCATCGTCATCATCATCAAGAACAGCATCAGCATCAGCAGCATCATCATCAGCATCATCATCATCATCAGCAGCATCATCCTCATCATCATCCTCAGCATCATCATAATCAGGCTCATCATCGTCATCATCATCAGCAGCAGCATCATCACGATCAGCATCACCATCCGCATCATCAGCAGCAGCGACATCATCATCATCATCATCATCATCATCATCAGCAGCAGCAGCAGCAGCAGCAGCAGCAGCAGCCTCATCAGCAGCATCATCATCAGCTGCATCATCATCAGCATCATCAGCATTATCATCGTCATTATCAGCAGCAGCATCAGCATCAGCATCATCATCATCATCAGCATCATCAGCAGCATCAGCTGCATATCCTCATTGACAACAGCTACATCACCACCATCATCATCAGCATCATCAGCAGCAGCAGCGTCATCCGCATCATCAGCAGCAGGAGCAGCGCCATCAACAGCAGCATCATCATCACCACCACCACCACCACCACCACCATCAGCACCACCACAGTCATCATCGTCATCGTAGCCTAAATCGCCGTCCCAGTATAGAATAGTACAGTTAAGGTCGCATCCTGTGCATCATCCGTCTGCTCTCAGTTCCCCCCCTCCTCCTAATCTGTCTCCTCCTCCTCGTCCGCCTTCTCCAGCTCCTCCTCTCCATCAGCATCATCGTCATCATCACCACTTCCACCACCACCACCATCAGCATCAACATCATCAGCATTAGCAGCATAATCAT